GAAAATTAATTTTGTTTAATGACTTAGGTTTAGATATGGGCCGATGAACAATAAATTTTTGATATAGCTTCAAATTGGTTGCAAAGTCATTACTTTTAACTAGGTGGTCTAGGCTTAAAATATGGAGTTTTAACAAAGGAATGCTAAATTATGCTCTTTATAAAATGTAAGCATTTTTAAAAATTTTTGTCTTTTAGGAGAATTTTTAATTTGTTCTAGGAATGCCAAGGTTAAATAAAGTTGATTATTTTTTTTTTTAAAACAACATCTTATATCAATAGAATTCACAACAATTAGGTTTATTAATCCTTAGAAAAACAAATAGTTAAATCAAAGAATCATGTTAAGGTCAAAAAATTTAAAATTAAGCTGAAAAATAATTAACTTCGAAGAACAACTAAAATTCATTGCAACAGTTAATGAATGTATGATAAAATTTTTTTTTTTTTAAAACTGCTCCACAATTATTCCAACCATTATTTAAACTGATGAAATAAAACAAACAAAGATAATAATAAAAAAAATTAAAAATTTTACTAAAATTCCTTTTCCCGACTAATCTAGCACATTTCCCCAATGTGTGCAAAAATAAGAAATTCCCCAAACTTATCGTATATTATCAAAACAAGGTGTAAAAATAAAATAGAGTTGAGAACACCTTACCACCATTGTATTGAAAAATACAATAAAATTTAAGGAAGCCAAGTGCATAGTTTCAATGCCTACATTCTAAAAGTGAGAAAGGACTAAATAGTACACAAAAATAAGAAGATATATAAAATAAATAAATAAATAAAATAAAAGACGTAATTATTGGAACGCAAAGAAAATAACATAGTTTTGCGAAAACAAAAAAAAAATGACAGTGATAAACAATACAAAAATAAAATAAAAGACCAACAAGTGACAATACTTAAAATAAAAGGGCAACAGAAAAAAAAATAATGAAAAGACTACACTTAAAGGAAAAGAAAGAGAAAGAATAATAAAAATAAATAAAATTAAGAAAATAAAAAAATAAAGAATGCATGTGACGTTAATAATGGAGAATAAAAAAAAATGAATGTCACTTTCACACACAACATGACACATGTAGGAAAGAAAAATAAATAAATAAGAGAAATAACTTGACACAATCATTGTGAAGAAGCAACTGATTTTTTCCACGACTGTGCTTCAAGGCACGGCCTGACCGTGCTGCCTTGGGGTACTAGGTAGCACAGAGGTGCTGGGAAGCACGCCCTGACCGTGCAAGAGTTTGACTATAGACGTATTTTTCTCTAAAAACAGCACGGGAGTGTTAGGCAGCATGCCCTACCCATGCTAGAGTCTAACTCTAGCACTTCCAATCAATTTTTAAGCCTTTTTAATCCTTTTTTTGACCTGCAATATGAGTATAAAACACCAAAATAAAAAAAATAATGGTTTAAAGATGGGAGAACAAAATGAAAAATACAAGTAATATTACATAGTAATAGATTAATAAAATAAATAAAAAATTGCGAAAGGAAGAGAAAGAAAATGATTGGGTTGCCTCCCATTAGCGTTTTATTTAAAGTCTTTAAACTCGACTTTTGAGAAATTTATCAAATAACGGCATTCGCCTATAGTATGTATCATGTAGTAGCACACATGGATCTTGGTTGAAAATGCCCTCAAGATTGGCTAGTTTGAGAAAATTTATGCTCGTTTTATCAACAACATCTCGGTTTGAATGATGAACTTGGAGAAAAACCTGTATTAGATCATGGAGAACACAATTTATTAAATGTGATATTATTGAAAGAAAGGATCTTCCGGTGGTGTATATATAAAGACCATTGATGAGCTCAAATCAATAGTCTCAATTATTTCTTCATCCACTAATATTGCTTTCTACTTGTTTTCATTTGAACTCTCACCCAATCTCCCTTCCAGCTGTACTTCATATTTTTCATGGTCATTAATAATCATGTCTGGAAATAAGAAAGCGAGATTTAATCCGTCTTCAAAGGAGTTGCATTTTTCACATGTAAGTTTTACTTCTTCTAAAGGTGCAATTTCCCATGAAGGTTCCTCAGAATTCACCTTGCACTCATCATCTTGATATCTATTAATTGCCATGGTTATCAATTCCGTTGCTTGTACCTCCAAATTCTTTATTGCTGCTTGTTTAAAACTCTGGCAGTTTCGAGTTTCATTCATAAATTCAGTGTGAGATTTAGTAAGGGCAACAATCAAATCCTCTAAATTCTTTTGTTTTTCTTCTTCATACTCAAAATTTTGAGAATACTGGTGATTCCAACCCTGCAGTAAATGATCCCAATGCCAACGGTAGTCAAAATCTGCCATATCATTTAACATGTAAAGTACATCTTCATAGTTGCTTTCCAGAAGATGAATACCGGTTGCAGAAAATCCATTATCTATCCAACTTCTAGTTTCTTCATCTAATCCACAATAGAATATGTAAGTGAGATATTTATTTGTAAAATTATCTCCAAAACAATTCGTTAAAATCTTGCCCAAGCTGAATTAAAGTGCCTCTTAAATGTTGTTGAATAAAATTGCGGACTACTTGTGATGAAAACATCTCAAAAACGTTCGCAAAGAAAAATAAATAAAAATTGAATAAAATAAAGAAAAAACTCATAATAATATAAATAAATTTCAATTAACCAACAAAAAAAAATGTCTAAATTTAATAAGAGGTTAATAGTATGATATTGGTAAACGCCAATTACCCAGCAACGGCGCCAAAAAACTTGACATGTGCTTTCCAAGTGTATGAAATCGCTACAAGTTAATATATGATGAGTAGAATATCGTTTCCCACGAGGATTGTATACCAAGTACCCAAAATTATGTAACCATTATTATTTTTTAAAACGATAAATTGAAAAATTGTTTCAAAGAACTTAAAATTCAACAAAGTAAATGAGAAGAAAATCAAGCAAGCCAATTATTTGATTAAAGAAATCATAGGATTTAAAACTACCAGGATTTTATTTCACTTAATTCTATCCGAATTTATTTATTAGTTCATTAATCAATTTAATTGTTAAATAGGGAAACAAACTCTAAATCAGTCTAATTAAGCTCTCCCGATTATTATTAGCTATTTTAATTCCGTTTTAAGTACCTATCTTCCAATAGCACAATCAAACCATGAATTAAATCATAAGTTTGTAGGTGTTTATTGAATTCCATAGATGTAAAGTTGTTAATTCCATGAAAACACCCCATGAGTCAAACCATATAGCTTCCGCATCAAGTTAATTATTCTCATGTGAATTCATCAACTCGTTCATATCAAAAATCATTCTTCCCGATAGTATTAATGATATAAATCAATCCAGGGAAAAAACTCTGGCTGAAGCAATTAAGTTTATCAATAAATCATAACTTGAACAAAGAAAAAAAATTCTAATATTATAAATTGGAAAAAGGAAATTATAGCTAACATCAAATCCCTAGCATCAAATCCCTAGTATGAGAGTTTAGTTAGACATAGTACTTAAATAAAACTCAATAATACTTGATAAATATTCCATAATCAATAAGAATAATGGAAGAAATAAACAAGATTAAGAGTTTAGAAATAAGAACTAGTTAACAATTGGCTTTTGATGACTTCCTTGAATCTTTGCACAACTCTTGAATACTTGAACTTTTGAAGAAATAAAACTATATACAAGGTTAAGAGAATGAAATGAGATGGAGCTAGAATGGAATGGGATAGGATGATATATTGGATTGGATGGTATGGGATTGGGATGAAAATGGGATTGTTTTACAATGCATCCTTCCTCTCTTTATATCTTTATAGTAGACTTCTGGGAGAAGAACTTCTACATTGTCTTAGGGAATAAATCCACATTGTTTAGGGAATAAGTTCTTATTAGGCCTTAAATTTCTCTCAATCATCGACTTTCCCATTGGCAATAGGTTAGAAACTTGAATTTGCATGTGAAGAAAGTATCCAAGGTTGAGCGAGCTCATGAAAATGGTGGGAATTGGTTGGCAATTTTGACTCAAATCAGCTCTTTGTCTTTAGCACGAGCGTGCTGGGAAACACGGTCTGGGCATGCCAAGTTCTGAGTCCATGGGGAGTTCAACACGGACCGTGCTCAAAGGCATGCTTGGATAAGGACTTGTGGCACGGGCGTGGTAGGGAGCACGGCTTGGGCGTGCTAGGCTCTGAGTCTCCACTTGATTTTCCTTAATTCCAGCATGGGCGTGCTGATGTGCACGGCTTGGGTGTGCTAGAGCTTGAGTGTTTTACTTTATTTTGCTCTTTTCTGTGCAAAACCCTATAAATTTCCTTAAGATCAAGTGAATTATGATTCAAGGAAGCTTTTATATGAAAACATAAATAAATTCAAGGAAGCTTTTATATGAAAACATAAATAAAATTGAGATAAAAACTAAATAAAGTAATTAAAAATACTAAAACTCCTAATAAAACTATATAGAAAATACTATAAAAAAAACACTATCAATGATTGAATTCAATAGGATGTTTTCTCTTTAATGGTACAATAACATTAAAGTTATTTACTTCAGAATCATTAAATTGTAGTTCAAGTGATACTTTAAGAATAAATAGATCAATAATTAATGAGCCATAATAAATCATTTGTTTTTCTAAATTTAATAACGACAGAATCATCATAAAATTCTTTAAAACAAACTGAATAGCATTCTTACTCAAACTAGAAATAGAAATTAAATTCCTTCTAATTGAAGAAACATACAAAACGTCCTTTAAAATTAATGTTTTATTCTTCTTAAAACTAAGAGCAACATTACCTACAGTTAAAATTGCAACTTCAGTGCCATCTCTCAAAAAGATGCCGACTTCTCCTTCACTTAGCTAGTGTGTTACTTGAAACCCCTACAAAGAAATGCAGACATGATTAGTAGCTCCTCAGTCTACACACCATGAGAGTGTAGTCAATACCCTAAACAAGTTTCAACAACCAGTAAATAGGAAATAGATGTACCTTGCTTTTTCTTGGCTATCCAAGTTGGATATTGCTGCTTCCAGTGACCAGGTTGCTTGCAGTGAAAACACTTGTCTTTGGGCTTTTCATAACACCATTTGCACCATTAGCTACAACAATTATTTTGAGCTTTGGCTTGTTAGCCTTTTTCTTCTTCTTACCCTGTTTCTGGGCAAAAGAATAATCTCGCTCAACATTGAGCACAACAGGTGATGCTCCTTGTTAAATAATAGTCTCAGCAACTGTCAGCTCATTCAACAACTTAGATAGAGTAAGATCCATCTTATTCATGTTATAGTTCAAACGAAACTACTAAAAATTGGCTGGTAGAGTGTTCGAGACCATCTCAATTTGAGTAGCCTCATCAACCTTACCAAGAACCTCCATGTCATTGAGAAGACTCATCATCCTCAAGACATGAGTTCTAACAAGAGTTCCTTCCTCCATTTTAGAAGTAAGAATCTCCCTAAGTGCATTTTGCTTGGCTGCACTAGTTTGGTCTCCAAACATCTCCTTGAGATTCTCTAAGATGTCATAAGCTGTGTCCCTATTATATAAATAAAAAAATTAAAAGAGTACAAAAAATAAGTATATAACGAGCATTATCAACGTGCAACGCACGTCATAAAAAAGACTAGTTATTTTTATTGATAATAAAAAAAAAAAAATCTTGGTTGATTAGCTTGGTGTATGGAGTAGTCTCATATACCAGGAGTTAGGTTGCACAAACACGGGGGAGTTTAGGTTGCAACAAACACGGGATACTTAGATACAGGAATGTACGGATAATGATAATTTTTAAAAGGTAGGATTCCACACGCTTAGGATACACTAACACTAAATAAGTAATAATTAATATTTCAAATAAATAAAAATTACTATAATAAATCATAAACAATAAAATAGAAAAACACTAAATTTCTATTTCAATGACAACAAAAACAACACAAAAACAAATTTAAAAAAAAAAACTTTATTTTTTATTGATAATAAAAAAAAATCTTAGTTGATTAGCTTGGTGTATAGAGTAGTCTCATATAGTAGGAGTTAGGTTGCACGAAAACGAGACAGGAGATACCGGAACATATGGGATATTACAATTTTTAAAAAAGGTAGGACATCCACATGATTAAAACACACTAAATAAGTAATTATTTCAAATAAATAAACAATCATAGTAAAAAAATACTTAATTTCTTATTTCAATGACACAAAACAAATTAAAAAAACACTTCATTTTTATTAGTAATAAAAAAAACCTTGGTTGATTAGCTTGGTGTTTGGAGTAGTCTCATATACCAGAAGCTAAGTTGCACGAGCACGGGACACGAGATACGAAAACATATGGATACGACAATTTTTAAAAAGTAGGATATCTATATGCTTATGACACACTACACTAAATAAGTAATACATTAATATTTCAAATAAATAAACAATCATTTATAATAAATTAAATAAATTATAAACATAAAAAAATTAATTTATTATTTCTATTACATAAAAAAAAATTTAAAATAAAAAACTTCATTTTTTATTGGTAATAAAAAAAACTTTAATTGATTAGCTTGGTGTATTGAGTAGTCTCATATACCAGAAGCTAGGTTGCATAAGCATGAGACACGAGATACAGAAATGTATGGATATGATAATTGTTAAAAAAGTAGAACATCCACACGCTTATAACACACTACACTAAATAAGTAATACATTAATATTTCAAATAAATAAATCATAAACATAAAACAAAAAATACCTAATTTCTTATTTCAACGACATAAAAACAAATTAAAAAAACTCTTCATTTTTATTGGTAATAAAAAAAACCTTGATTGACTTGCTTGGTGTATGTAGTAGTCTCATATACCAGGAGCTAGGTTGCACAGACACATGACACGAGATACGGAAACATATGACATATGATAATTCTTGAAAAAGTAGCACATCTACAAGCTTAGAACACACTACACCAAATAACTAATACATTAATATTTTAAATAAATAAACAATTATTTACAATAAATCATGAACATAAAAATACTTAATTTCTTATTTTAATGACAAAATAAATTAAAAAAACACTTATTTTTTATTGGTAATAAGAAAAAACTTTGGTTGATTAGCTTGGTGTATGGAGTAGTCTCATGTACTAGGAGCTAAGTTGCATGAACATGGGATATGAGATATGAGAATATACGAGATACAATAATTTTTTAAAAAAGTAGAACATCCACACGCTTTGGACACACTACACTAAATAAGTAATACATTAATATGTAATACATTATATTTCAAAATAAATAAACAATAATTTATAATAAATTATAAACATAAAATGAAAAACTTAATTTTCTTAATTTCAGAGCAGAAAAAATAAAGGTAAAAAATCACTTTATTTTTTATTGATAATAAAAAAAACCTTGGTTGAGTAGCCTTAGTGTTATGGGTAGTCTCCATATACCAAAGAGTTAGGTTGCACAGACACGGTAAATGGGATACGGGAACGTAAATGATAAGATAATTCTTTTTTTAAAATAGAATATCTACATGCATAGTGCAACAATACACTAAATAAGTAATATATTATATTTAAATAAATAAAGAATGCATTTATAATAAATATAAGAACATAATAAAAAATACATAAACATAAAATAAAAAATACTTAATTTCTTATTTCAATATAATTAGTTAAATTCTCAAAATTATTATCACTATTGAAAAATACATTAATAGGATGTATACATTTTTTATGGAGGTTATACCATGCATTGCTTTTGCTATTATATACCTTGAAAGGCTTCGCAGGATATTTAAAAAGACATATCTTAGCATTGTAATATTTCAGCATATCTCAATGAGATACAATTTATCATTTTATTATATAATTTTACTATTTTTGAATGATGCTATAAAAGATGATTTCATACTTTAATATTGTTCCGCCAATCACGTAAGTTCTAAAACGAGTTTAATTTAATTAGGTAATAGTGTGATGATAATATGAGTAACGATATAAATAATGAAGTTAAGTCACGATTGAAAGTATGTATAAAATAAAAGTCGGACTTTGTCTCAACTTGGGGAAAAAAAAATCTAGTTGACTTTGACCAACTAATTGGGAGTGTTACATGTCTAGATAGTGTGCTTAATTAATTTTGCTTGTCTAGTATTTGTACTTTTCCCTTCTCTTTTCGCATTAAAAGTATATTTAAAACAAATATTAGGCGCATTTTTAATATAAAACTCCTATTATAGAAAGTTTTTTTCAACTATATTTATTTCAAAGCTATATTTAAAATTTTGTGTACATTATTTAAATCACAATTAAGTTCAACTAATCACGGCCATGTCACTAATGCTTTAGCTATATTGAAAATTATATTTAAAATTTTTATATATTATTCAAATCACAATTAAGTTCTATTATATTTAAAGCTACTTTGTGAATTATAAATTAAAAGTTATATTTAAACAAAGATAAAACACGTTACAAAACTCTTATCATGAAAAACATCTTCCAGCTATATTTAAAATGTTTTTATACATTATAAATTATATAATTATTTATCATATTTATGAAGAGCCTTATTGAAAAAATATTTATTTAAATTAATTTCAAATGGCTTCAATTGAAATGATAATATTTAATCATTTATTTAATCAAATATTTATTATTAATGATTTCAAATGATAAATGTATTAATGATAATAATCATTTATTATATATTGATTGTTGTTATTATTTATGTAAGTTAATTACAATTAATAGAAAATTAAAAGAGGCAAATCCTACTTGGTAATAGCATGGCCACCGGTTCGGTTCAAATTAAAATCGAACCGTACTGTGGATGACCAAAACTAGATGGAATCATCGGTTCAAAACCTTGAACCGGGATCAACAGTTCAAGATTTTGAATCAGAATCGACAGTTTAAAGGCTGGTTAAAGTTCATGTGACTGTTAAATTTTAAACCTGAATCGGCTTGGGACCATCGGTTAGCTAACGGTTCTAGTCCAGTTTGAACTGAAAATTTTCTATTTTTATTTTTAAAATTATAATCACTTACCTTATCCTATACACCTTTAAAAGTCTGAATAATCTTTTACTACATGATACACTTTACTTAAAAGGTTTTTTTTTTTTTTTTGAAATACACTTAAAAAGTTAAAAATCTGAAAAGTAAAATGGTAGAAAATGTGAAATATTTAGTATAGAATTACATTATTTGATACAAATGACAGTTTACCGTTTTTTTTTCGTCATAAATTTTTATTTAGTTCAAAATTACATTATTTGAAGATTTTTTCAAAATTTCTAATAATTTATTAATTAATAACATTTAGACAAAATAAAATAATAATTATTTGATTATTTTATAAAGTTAATTAATTTTATTTTTTATATGAGTATGAACGTTCTAAAAGTTATTCAAAATAAATTAACCAATATTTTTTTAAAATTTACATTAATTTTTTCGAAAGAAAGACGTAACCTTAGAATCCAATTTTTATTTTTTATTTTTTGAAAAAGAACTTAATTAATTTAGATGGTGTGTTTAATTAATTTAAAGCACTTAATTAATTTAGGCGGTGTGCTTAATTAATTTAATGTGCGGTTTAAATTAGAGGAGTTGCAATCAAGGAAATGAATGAGGAATAAAGTCTAGTAGTAGCTATCTTAGAAAAACCTTTTTTACTGTTGATGTTGGGGGTATCGTGTATAAGATCACGACTGCTTTTAGGAGCTTCCTTCTTCACCCTTAAATTAATTGTACATAAATAAATTTGGAAGTGTCTATAATTATGTGATAGGCTTAAAAAATAATAAAAATATCTCAATTACAGTTAACTAAGACCGATTGAATCACTTGAACATGAATTAAAAGGGAATTAGACATCTTAAGTTAAATGTAAAGCATAATTGATATATAATAATAATAATAATAATAATAATTTAATTGATCTTTTACATGGGTAATTGGAAGAGAAAGCACTTAGGATTCTAATTTTGAAATAAAATATGATTTGGGGATTTAGGGTCAAAATTACCCTATGTCAAATTGATTAGCTAGATGTGAAATTAAATGTCTTAGAGGGTTGTCTCTCAAGTTATTTTGAATTTGATAAACTTTAGGATATTCAATTGGAAGAATATTTATGATACTTATATGAGTCAAAGTGGAGGTGACTTCTCCGTGTTATGAGTTGAATAAGTGAATTTATGTTGCCTACATATATAATTGTTTTTTTATATTAAACTAACATTATTGGATCACAAGGGGACCTATATGTCTCTAAGTGAATAAGCAGGTTGAAGATGCAATCAGGTATGCCTAGAATTTAATATAGCGCTTTGACTGAAATGTGCTGATGTGTCTGAGATGACATCTGGAATTCAAATTGAATGTTAAATAAATTATGTGGGTCCTCATAAGTACTTGGTTGAATAGTTGTATGAACACTAAACTTTTTCTGAATCTGATTATATGCTGGACAATGGGTGTCCCATTGAGATTGCGGACGCACACCACCATTTTGTAGGCTTTGTCTAATTTGTAAATTTAGCATTTATGCCTTACTGCTTTATGTTATTATATTGATATCTATAACTACTGTTCTTCTGAGTTACTGTTAAGGCCCATAAATGACCTGGAATTAATAGTTGGACTGTTAATCAGAGAATATTGCAATTATATGGAAGTTACTTATATCAACACTGTTGTATGATTACTTGTGATGCAAATTACCTATAATGATGTAATTATATAATTACTTGTAATGCAAGTTACCCAAGTCCATGTAGTAATATGATTACTTGCAAATGATTGTAAATTAAGTGCTGATGATGTAATATACAATGTTATAATACTCGTGTGATTGTACGTTGTACCCTGAACTTTGAATTGAGATGTTTTGTGGCTTCTATGGGAACTTTATATGCTAGATGTTGGTATTATTTGCGTTAAGTACCACTAAGTTCTATACTCAGTGTGATGTGTTTCTCTCGCGCAAGTGGGAGATATGTGTAGATTGAAGTGATCTAGTGTTCCAGTATCAGAGGCATAGTATTTTACTTCAGTTAGATTTTGAGTATGGATTTTTTATAGCCTCACAAAGCGGGCAAATTTGTTAAGTTATAATCGCATGATTTGCATGATTGTGTGTTTGTTTTTATACATTTTACGTTTTCTTTTGTTGTTTTTGGTTTAAAGTTGTTTTGGGAATAAATTTGAACAAAGGATTGGAAAAGGCTTGTTTTTATGAAGAAAAGGATAAAAAATTTGACTAAGTATGGGAAAGGAGTTTTTTGCCAAGAAACTTCGTAACATCAAATGAAGTCGCGTTGTATGGGAACAGATGGTGATTCGCGAGCGCAGCCCATATATGTGCAGGCACAATCTGTATAACAGAAGGTCCAGAAAGCATCAGGTAGAACTCGCGAGCGCGACATTATATTTCACGAGCGCGGGGAACACAACAAAACGACAGAAGAGTACCAGGTCAAACTTGCGAGCATGATAAGCACTCCAGAAGAGGCAGAAAGATCATAAGAAGTGATTGTGGGCGCAACCTTTAAACTCGCGAGCGCGAGTCGATTTCCAGAAGACTTCAACTACTACCTTTTTACCAGAAAGTTGTATCCTTCCATGAACAGATCGGAATTTCTCCCATCAGAAGTCAGTTGAAGCACCCTTTGGCCAGCCAATCACCATCATAACCAACATCCTCTTCCTCTTCTATAAATGCCATCAACCAATCATAACCAACATCCTCTTCCTCTTCTATAAATTGCAATCCAAATTAAGAGGAAAAGATAGAAGAAGAGGCAGTAATTAAATACAACAGAAAGCTAATAAAGTTACTTAGAAATAAGTTGATGAGAATCACTTATTAATTGTTTTGTTGCAAGAACAAAAAGAGTTCCTCGAGGTGTGACGCCCTCCGGAGGCTTGAGTTTGATTACTTATATCTTCTCTTGTTTTTTAATTAAACGATTTTTTTATGGTTGTTCTTCATTATTTTCTATGCAAGAGCAACAAATTATTCTGGTTCCATTCAATAAAGTTTCTTTAAGTTATCTTTTGGTCTTTGTTTAATCAAGTTTACTTAATTATATTCTCAAAAAGAAATAATTCAGTAAAGATCAAAGAGATAGAATTTAGTTAGTTGGGTTTGCATGTGAATCTTTAACTTGGTTTGTCAAAGTTAAGTCTATCTTATTTAAATATCAAAGAATAAGAGTTAGGATTAATATTTGATAAGTAAGGCATTTGTTGTATGTAGAGATACATATAATAAATAGAGCAATTCTGTACCGAGAGGTTGAATTATACTTTAGCACATGTGATTAGAGAATCGTTTATTGCATGTTACACGTTTTGCTACAGAAAAAGACAATTCTTCTAAGTATTCTACTATATCTTTATCAATAGAATTAAGTGGTATATGTAATTAAAGTTTGATTTATCAATAGAATTAAGTGGTATATGTAATTAAAGTTTGAATAGGATCATAGTTTAATCATTTCATGTTTTATTGCTGTAAACATAAGTATTAACGATAAGTAGTAAAGTGGACATAACCTGTTCCTCGTGGGTTCAATCTTTTTATTACTACGTTGTGATCCGTATACTTGCAGGTAATCAAGCGGTGCAATAATTTTTCCATGGACTTGGCATCTAGTAGAAAGTTATTTTGTTGAGAGAATTATTTTATTATGGGGATTGTAAATGGCCTTTTTAATAAGTTTGGTTTTTATTTGGTTAGTTTACTTATAAATTTCAGTAATGATTTCTCTTAATTATTTTGGAGGTTTCACTAAGGAACCTGAATTTTAGAATTTAGAAATTTATGCACATGAGAATTTTTAGACATCACACTAAGTGATGCTTTATACATCTGAATAAAAATATGTTTTACAGGATATGTTTTTATTATGTTGAACTTGTTTTCATTCGTTGCTTGAGGGCACTTTAAAATCTTTTCAATGTCTTTGTGTTGCTAATTGGAAAATTGATTCATTTGTGTATAAGGATGTTTTCAAGTTTGGTTTTTAAATTGACAAGGTTTACTATGGTTTTCTTGTTTAATAAGTCTTCTGCTCACATGTTAAATATTAGATAAATGAAGTACTTTTTGAAATTAAGTTTTTCTAATTCGAATCCTAATTAAATGTTTAAATTGAATAAGCCAGTACGTGCCTTCGGCACATAATGTTACATCTCTTGTCAGGTCCTACATGATTGGAAGTCAGAGCTACTGGTTTATGCAATTCTGGATTTAATAGTGGGGATATGAGTGAGATTTGTCCCTAGTACTATTACATGCCATCTGAGTCTGAATGGAAAATTTCACTCTGATACGGATCTTGTTATTTGTAAGATTATTATGATGTCTTCAGGATTACAACATGTTAATGATGAGGAGGTTAACAGTTATGTTCCTCCTAACGGTGCTGGTGCTAAAGATTCTGTTTGTGAACATGTGTCTGCTGTAGGACCCGCTACTAATGGTCTAGCAATGCAAGTGTAGAATGTATTATTGCAATAGCCTACAGATATTCTCAGGCAGGTTGCAGGTTAGGCCCCGATTATTCTAGTGGTTCTAGTTGATCCTCCTCGACCTGCCATCATGAAATTGCATAAGTACGACGTAGTTTATTTTAGAGGCAAAAAGGAAGATGATGCTAGTGTAGTTGAGTATTGGCTTGAGAGTACTCAGAGGGGTTTTAAGCAGTTGTAGTGTTCCCCTGCTGACAGTTTGGTTTGTGCTGCTTCTTTATTGAAGGAAGAAGCATACCAGTGGTGGTTCATGGTTTGAAGGACAATGGAAGATGATATGAGGACTTGAGATTTCTTTATGGCGGATTTAAGGAAGAAGTATGTGGATACACTATTTGTAGAGCAGAGGAAGGCTAAGTTTTTGGAGCTGAAACAAGGAAGGATGATAGTCTTTAGAGCTGGAAGAGGTTAGAAATTACCAAGAGAATCGAAGACAGAGGAATCAACAAAAGAGGTTTGACAGTGCACCAACCGGACAAACTTCTATAGTATAGGCTTCGAATAAGAGGCTAGAGCACCTCCGCCATCTAGGCCCAAGCAGGGTCAGAATTAGCCACTTAGATAGACTCCTCAAACGACCTCAGTCGCTCGTGTAGGTGGTTCAGGTAGAAGTGACTTACCAGCTTGTGTTTCTTATGGAAAGAGACATCCAAGCGTTTGTTAGAGGACTATATATGCTTGTTTCATATGTAGGTCCATAGAGAACGTGATTCGGGACTACCGGAAGACTATAATTAGGATTGGTCAACAGTCTCCTAGATCTGCTCATGCAGTATCCTGAGGTAGAGGTAAAGGTATAGCTAGTAACGGTGGACATAAAGGAGTTTCAGAGACTATAGATAGACTAAAGTTTAGAGATCCAGCCAGAGTTTATGCCATCAGAGGCAGGGAGAAGCAGGATGCACCAGATGTGATAGTTGGTATGTTCTTTTTTGGCTTAATTATAAATTTAGTATCTAAACTTTTGAAAAATTTCTATTTCAGTGTCTCAACAAAAAACGTTTGCAATCAAGTGTCGGAACCGATAAATTTTTTTCAGTCAGGTGTCTCCGTCCTATGTGGCTTACTAAAAACATGAATAGGAAGCATGAGATCCACTAATTGTTAAAAATAACGTTGTGTAGGATGCCAAATAGCTTGACACGTCGGATCTGACGTGTCAAGCAATGAAGTGTATCAAACCGATATTGCTTAATAATACGAATCGAACCAAAAATCATCTATAATCCTCTTCATTCTTCTTCCTTCAAGCAATCCCTGATCGCTCTTCATTCTCCATGAACCCCAGCCCGCTCCCGGTTACTAGCGCCACCATCACTGACCAAGCAATAGGCGACCACCACCTCCAGTCACTTTTCGGGACCCAAAAGTGAAAATGAAGTACATCACAAGGATTCTCCTCAAACCGAGACATATTCATATACAAAAAACCATGATTCTAACAATTGGTTTGAGTACTAATTAATCCAATAAAAAAATTCTTATAGAATTCTTTGAGAACTTTTATTGAACACAAAGTGAACTAGCAACACATAACTTTATTAAAAGCCACTAACTAGAAGAAACCCTCTAAAAAAGTGTAACAAATAGAATAACCCAACATAGTAAATGCCCAAACAAACTAAGTCAATAAATGAATTAGATTAAAATTGGAAAAAATAATAAGAAGAACAGAGTATATTTAGTCCTCTTTAATGTGATATATAAGACTGCAGTGATATTACATGTTTGAAGATAATATAAATTGAGAGACGAAGAGATTACCAAGAGAGAAAAGAGCGAGTGGATCTAAGAAAGGAGTGATTTTGTTTTTGTCATTTGGTCATCTTTCAACATCGAAGGGAAGCGAAATGGCATGGGACATTCCACCGAAGTTCATGAAATCTCCCTAGTCATCATCATCGTTGCTAGCAGCCAAATCTGGGCCATTGACAAAAGTGATATTGGAATGGACGATCGAATTCAATGGTGTGACCCAAAGCTAGCCTTGGCCACGGTTCCGAAACCGGCGGTTCCGATTCCGGTTCCAGAAAAATTGGAACCGGAACCGAACCGAAAAAGTCCGGTTCCGGTTCCGGGGAACCGTCCGTTCCGATTCCGGTTCCGGTTCCGATCCGGTTACAAACCGACGGTTCCATCGGGTTGTTTTCGGCGAATCGCATAAATTTTAATTTTAAATTTTGAATGCCGGTTTTAAAAAAAATTATTTGAACATAAAAATTAAAAAATCACCTTAAAAATTTTAAATTTGAAGATCGGTTTAAAAAAAAAGAATTATTTGAAATAAAACTTTAAAAAATCACCTAAAAAAATTTTAAATTTGAAGACCGCGTTTAAAAAAAATTTTGTACATAAAATTTTAAAAAAATACACCTAAAAAATTAAAAAATCTTATTAAATTATTTTTTTAAAGACTTGAATTGTTGAGATTGAACATATTTATTTTTTTTAAAAAAATTTCAACTGATTTTTTTTTTTGGGAAAAGTTTGAACAATTAATTTAAAAAAAAAAGGGCTTGAACTTAATTTTTTTTGTTTTTAAAAAAAAATTGAAGTTGCCTAGATCTCTTGGGGTTTAGAGAATCTAAAGCCCACGTAGTTCTTACTTACCTTATACCAAATTTCCAACTCCTTTTACCTTAATCGCTATTTGCACCACCGGTTGATGTTCCCTTGTTGAGGACCCATCCGTATAAATAAATAAATCTTCATTTTATTTTTGGATTTTCTTGGGCCTTTAGTTCGGGTCCTTGGTCCATCATCCACTGCATGCTTTGTGCTTCCTAATGAATGGGTGTCATTACGAGATCGGTGTTTCGTCCAAGTATGTTTCATCCTTGACTAAAAGCTTGTTCCAACCGCACAGTGGAGACGGAGCTGCTAAAAATTTGGTTTTGCAAGTAAGAAGAATTGAAAAGTAATTTTTGAAGTGCGTGACGACTCCACCAATCTAATAATTGGAAATCAGTATCTGCATAATCATCACCAAACTCAAAAAAGTTGTTTAGTAATCTATCAACTCAGAAATAGAATGGATTCCTTGTTTTTTTGTCTTGGAAGTAAAACTTGTTGAGGCAAACACAACGCCAGCCTTACCCTTGTAGTAATATACGTTCAGCAACACCAACACTTACCCTTTCAGTTGGGAATGATTGATTATTGAATTGAGAAGAATTAGAAGAAGTAGAT